AAGAATCAACTGCTCACAATGTAACACCTCGCAATGATCACTGAGAACTCTGGGGCGTTCCCCGATCACTGACAACTCTGGGGCATTCCCTGATCACTGACAGCTCTGGGGCGTTCCCCGAGTCCCCTCTTCACACTGGGGCGTGGGTAGGTTCTCACCATGAGAGTGGATCACACCACATAGTCTTCTCCCTCGTGTTCTCCATTTGTCGCTCTTTCCGCAACGTTTCCAATGGCTGTCCAGCAGTCTGTCCAGGGGAGGCACCCAGTCTGTCCAGGGGAGGCACCGTCCTTTGTTTCATCAGTCTTATTTTGTGGAGCATCTAAGTTAACTCCTATGTTTTGCCCTTGTGGGCAGCACTGTCAGGAAATTGTTACAGCGACAAATTTATGATTTTCCAAGACTACTCCTTATGATAAATTCCAAACACTATGTAATTACTGGGCTGAGGATTCATGCTCTTTACCACTTCCGGTGGGCTTTGCCAAACACCTTCTAAGGGTTCTCAACCTGCTTACATTCCCACTAGAAGAAAAAAAAAAACCACTAGAAGAATATGAAAGTAGTTATTTTTCTGCAAAATTGTAACTGCAGAATTTTAGTAATTTTAGAAGGAAATGGAAAGCTTAGCTAGTATTTAAAAATTATATGTAGTTTTAATTTTAATTTGCCTGATTTTTAGTGAAAGGCAGAGTAAGAGAAAGGTGAGATCTTCCACCCGCTGGTTCACTCCCCAAATGGCCACCATGGCCAGAGTTGGGCCAGGCTGAAGCCTGGAGCTTGGAACTCCTTCCAGGTCTCCCATGTGGGTCACAGGGGCCCAAGTACTCAGCTTCTGCTGCTTTCCCAGGTGCATTAGCAGGGAGCTGGATGGGAAGTGGAGCAGCTAAGACTTTAACTGGCATTCATATGGGATGCTGGCTGTCACAGGAAGTGGCCCGACCTACTGCACCACAGTGCTGGCCCCAGGAATCCATCTTTTATTATTGGTTTGTAAGAGCTCTCTCCATATGAAGGGTGGTAGGCTTTGTCTGCCATACACTCCTATGTCAGAACACATTTCTCAGTTTATCACCTGCCTTTCAGTATTGTTTATGGTATTGATTGACTGGAGCCGCATTAATGTCTGCTTGCTAGACATCTTTTCTTATATGACTCAATGACATTTCAAATTCCACACATCCAGATTGAAATTTATTACTTCCCCCCGCCCCCAACAGCTGCCTCTTCTTGCTGACTTGCTGATTTCTGTTCATGTCATCACCATTTTCCTACTCACCCAGGCTTGAAATGTTGAAGTCATCTCTGATTCCAGCTTCCCTCTCTTCCCCTACATTCTGTCAGTTGCCAACCCCTATATATTCTATTTCTGCAATTCCTTGGCAGGCAGCCCCTTGGGCGCCCCAGTAGTTCAGGTTCTCATTATTTCTTGGCTGGACTTTGACAATAGCCTCCCAAGTTCATCCCGTGTCTCCCCAATCCCAGTCCCTCCGCTCCTTTCTCCTCCTTGTTGCTACCACATTCATCTTCCTAAAGTCGAGCTCAAACAGAGAACTCCCTGGCTAAAGCACAGCAACATCTCCCCAGCCTCTGCAGTATTTAGTTACCACCTCTTAGCCTGGCCATGATTTCCGTTCAGCCAGATTCCCCACCGTTGCAGCCAAGCTGTTCCCAAGCAGGTGCTTTCCTGCCACTTCATCTTTCTGTTCCAACCACCCCTTCCTCTTTGAAGGCAGTGCCATCATCTCCACCTACCAAAATCCATTCACAAAACCCTACACCTTCCCCCACTGCCAGCTATCCCAGGGTTTCGTGACTCTCAATAGAATGTTCTCTCCTTTGAATGCCCAGAACAATTTGCTTGAACAACTTTTTTTTTCTTTCAGAAAAATTTATTATTTATTTATTTGAAAGGTAGGGTTACACACAGAGAGAGAAAGAGGGAGAGACAGAGATAAAGGTCTTTCTTCCATTGATTCACTCCCTAAATGGCTGCAAATTGCTGGAGCTGGGCTGATCCGAAACCAGGAGCCAGGAGTTTCTTCCGGGTCTCCCACGTGGGTGCAGGGACCCAAGCACCTGGGCCATCTTCCACTGCTTTCCCAGGTGCACTAGCAGGGAACTGGATCATAAGTGGAGCAGCCAGGACTGGAACCAGCGCCTATATGGGATGCCAACACTGAAGCTGGCTGCTTTACCCACTGTGCCATAGTGCTGGCCCCTTCGAACTTCTTTTGTAGAACAAACCTTGTTCCAGCACCTACTGGATCAGAAAGCAGAGTTCTTAGGGGAAACAGTCCCCAATATCTGTTTCTGCACAGTGCCGTGATGTCATAGGTGTTCAGTGGGTATGGATGGAATAAGAAGCTATGCTCCGTGTAGCTGAGTGCCCAGGGATCGTGGGCCTCTGTTGTTCCCACCCCAACATGTGCAGCCTCATGGAGAGGGTGCAGCTGGCCAGCCACTGGCAGAGTGCAAGTGCCCTTAGCAAGAACAGAGCTGACTGGTGGCCTTCAGAACCGGAGATAGGGCTGGAACCACCTCTTCACCCCACGATCTGTGGTTATTGCAGTGAAAGGTGCCCAAATCCATTCATTTCTGTCTCATGCACATGGCAGATACTTCGACGACTTGTTTACTTTTTATTTAAAGGCAGAACGATAGAGAGAGAGGAGAGAAAGAAATCTTCCCTCCACTGGCTCACTCCTCAAATGAGTATAAGGGCCCAGGGCTGGGTCAGGTTGAAGCCAGGAACCCTGAACTCCATCGGGGTCTCCTGCATGAGTGGCAGGAGCCCAAACACTTACATGGGCCATCATTCTATGCTTTCCCTGGTCCATGAGCAGGAAGTTGGATTGGAATTGGAGCAGCCAGGACTTGAACTGACGCTCTGATATGGGATGCCAGCGTCCCAGGCAGTGGCTTAACCCACTGTGCCACAGTGTTAGCCCTTAGATACTTCGTAAGTTGCCTATTGGAGGAAGAATCTCAGGGAGCCCCTATGGAAAATGGGTTGTTGGAATCAGCGTTGAGTGACAGCTAAGGGATGCTGGAGGCACTGGTGACCTTGACTGTTCGTGATGCCTGAATCAACTAGGAGTTTTTCCCTCCTTAATCTATTTAAATAGAGTCAATATTGGGGTCAGCTCCATGCAAAGAGCCCTTTTTGGCTTTAGAGGTGACTCTGCCGCCTGCACGGGAGTGTGCAATTGACACAGTCTATTTTTAGCCTCCTAGAGACCGTGACCAACATCCCAAGCTGGGGTGGGCACACCTGCTGCATTCTAATGAGGCAGCCCCGCTTGCCTCTGCCAGCGAGCCTGGGCTCTTGCCGACCTGAATTCTGATGTTGCTAAACTGGGAAGTCTGCTTATTTCCCAGAGGCATTAGCCTAGATACGCCAGGAAAAGGGGACCGTGACCCTCCCCTGGCTTGCCCGCCTCCAGCCCTGGACACAGACTGTGCCCACAGCACGAGCGAGAGGCCCCACCCACTTGATTCTTGATCTGGCTTTGTCCTTGGAGCCTCCTGCTCCCTTGTAGAAAACCAGGAAGTAAGTCTGCGCTGACCCAGCTCACAGATGGGAAAACTGGGTCACAGAACAGCATTATGACTTTTAGTCTCTGTACCAGGAGCAGTAGTAATAATAAGGCACTTTGCTTCGAGTAGTGTTCTAAAATCTTTATCTGTATAAACTCATCCACACAGCCTGACGGTTCTTTCCTGTAGGTTTTTATTAGGATCTGTGTTGTATAAGGGAGGAAACTGAGGCACAAGGATGACAAACGACTTTCCAAGGTCCCTCAGTGGAGAAGGAGCAGAACTGGGTCTCAGAGCCAGGCAGACCGGCCCCAGGGCTTGCACTGGGAGCCAATACCTGCACCATCCGCCTCTTGTTATCTGTTTGACATCTCACTAGAGCCAGGGTGGGATCCAGGACCCGGGTTCCTGGCCGCGGAGGGGCTGACCCTGGGTGCTGCTGCAGCTCCGCAAGCGAAAGCTCCACCCCGAGCTGAGGCCTTTCTTGTGCCCAACCCACAGGGTCTTCTACACTCTGGGGAGAGGGCTCTTCCCTGGCTGCTGTGGTCTGAGCTTCTGGGCTCCCCTTGCTCTACCTGGAAGAAGAAGCTCTCTGAGCCCCATCTTTTTCTCCCTTCTCCCCTGAGCCTGGAGGAGTCGGGGACCTAGCTGGGGGGGTTAGGGGGTAGCGCTGGGCTGATTGCCAGGATTGGGCGACCGAGAAGGAGCGCCACTTCCGGTGTGCAGGCGGGAGGTGAGCCACGGGGCCAGTGTCCCAGTGCTGCAGGGCAGGGCGCAAGACAACAGGTGTGAAAACCCAGAACCTGCGGCCAGCCTTGGAGAGCCAGTCCCTTCTGAGTGTGGCGCTACCTGCGGGGTGGAGAGAAGCCAGGGCACTTGATCTTGCTAAGGGCGCATTGAGCTCAGCCTTTGCTAAGCACTTTAACAACAGGAACTTGTCTAATCCTCAGGACGAGTCTAGAAGGCAGGGTCCACTTTATTGCCACTTTGGAGATGGGGAAACTGAGGCAGCAAGCAATGACTAACGTGCCCCACGGTTGTACAGCTGGTAAGCGGCTGGGCTGGGAGTTAGGACTCAGTGGACCCGCTGTGGGCCGCACACACACCCCTTAGCCGCCGTGCCGTGCCCTGCGGCGCTGCCTGTCTTTTCTCTTTACTGAGGGCTTCTTAGTCTGCAAAGGAAGACATTACTGCCCTCATTCACCAGAGGAGCGGATCGGCTCTGGTCACCCACCAGTAAGAGCTGCGACTGGATTAAATCCAGGTTAGCTAGGCTCCTCAGTTGGCGAGCCACCTCCTGCCAATCAGAGCCACCACCCAACCGCCAGGAAGCCTGAAGGGATCATGCATCCTTCAGGGCTGGTGGCTGCGTCTGATTGGAGGAGAAGGAGAGGGCCGCACTCCCGGAGGGCGGGACTTGGGCGTCTGTGTCATGTCCCGGCCCCTTCTTTTCTCCTCAGGTGAGCGGTCCCCCGGCTCAGCCCCCTCAGCCTGTGGTCCCGCCCAAGCCTGTGCCCTGCGTCCATCACGTGTCCACCCAGCCCAGCTGCCCGGGACGGGGCAAACTGTCCAAGCTGCTGAACCCGGAAGAGATGACGTCGAGAGATTATTACTTCGACTCCTATGCCCACTTTGGGATCCATGAGGTAAAACATCATGGGGCTGGGGTGGCGGGGAGGGTGAGCTGGGACGAGATGGGACGAGCTGGGACGAACCAGGTCACTGTCGTCCGGGCAGCAGTTTCTTCTCCTTTCAGCATCGCTGAGTGGGTTCTCCCAGGGCCCCTGTACCCCTGAGCTCTTTGTCCACTGGTTCCTCGGGGAGGGGCAGGACCTGGAGCAGTGAGCAGGTGCCAGCGTGGGTCCATGTGTCCCATGGCCAGAGAGGGGGCAGGGCGGAGCCCCAGGTTTATTTTCCACCCCGGCACCCCTGCTTCCTCCTGACCCCAAGCCTGGATGGCGTTGGTCACTGGAAGGAGCTCCAATGTGGGCAGCCCAAATATTTTTCTTTCTTTTAAAATATTTATCTGTTTCTTTATTTGAAAGGCAGAGTGACAGAGAGAGAGAGAGAGAGAGAGATCTGCCATCTGCTGGTTCACTCCTCAAATGACTGCAACAGCCAGGGCTGGGACAGGGTGAAGCCACGTGGAATCCTTGGTTCCTGGGATTCTACCCGGGTCGCCCACGTGGGTGGCAGGGACCCAAGTACTTGGGTCATCTTCTGCTGCCTCCCCAGGGGCATCAGCAGGGAGTTGGATCAGAAGCAGAGCAGACAGGATGCTGGCATCACAGGCAGCACTGAACCCGCAGTGCCGCAATGCTGGCCCTGGCAGCCCAAATCTTTAGGCTGAAAGAGCCTCCCAGGGGTCACTATGTGGGTTCCTTAGGCCAGAAAACACCTCCAGGGGAAGAGATGCAGGAAACTCGTCGGGACTCTGGCCCAAGTCTGACACCTGCTTCTCTGGGAATGCTTACATCTTCATGCCTGTCATATGCCACAGAGGGAGAGATGGATGTCAGCGTTAGAAAGAACACAGCCTCCTAAGAGAAGGCTTCCTGGCTGGGGCTGGAGCAGAGTGTTGTCCACCCTGCACACCCCACATTACAACCCCCAGCTCTCGCTTGAGCCCCCTCTCTCCCGCCCCCTCCAAAACAAAACAAAACAAAACAAAACAAAAAACAAACTCCTAGCACTGAGTGTATACTAAGTGCCAGGCACACTAAGTACATGACATGAATCATCTCATTTAATCCTCATGAGAGCCCTATAGAGAAAATAGCTCCTTATACCATGAAGAAAATAGTGAAAAAGGAACAAAAGTCCATTTGCAAATGAATGCATTTTAAGAACAAGTCTTTGGGGCTGGTGTTTGGTGCAGTGATGAGGCTGCTGATGGGGATGCCCACATCCCATGTCAGAGTGCCTGCTTTGAGTCCTGGCTCCTCCCCTTCCGGTCCAGTATCCTGCTAATGCATACCCTGGAAGGCAGCAGGTGACGAGGTCCGAGTACTGGCATCCCTGCCACCTATGTGGGAGACCCAACGGCATCCTGGGCTCCTGGCTTCAGCATGGTTCAACCACAGCTGTTGTAGGGATCTGGGGAGTGAACCGGCAGATGGGAGAGCTTTTCCTGACTTTTAAAGAAGAAAAAATCAAATAAATTTTTAAAAATTAATTAACAACTACCAACAAGTGTTGAAGCTCCCCTTCCAACTTGATGGGACTACCTGAATGATGTTGGGACAAGCTGTGGCTCTGTCCCAACAGCGGTGCTGCCACTGCTGGGAGGGTATTTAATACCAACAGCCAGCATTTTGAAAAGTGCTTACTGCATACTGGGCGTTGTTGATTATTGGCCCAGTTCTGCTCAGGGCCACCCTAGGAGGTCAGTATTGCTGTCTGCACCCATTTTACGGATGACTCACGACCTTCAGAATCAGATCAAGCCTGGCTCATCCTTGTGCTGCCTTTGTGCAAGGCCACGGGCTAGAAGTTCAACCCTTACATGTGGCCCCAGGGACTGCATTGCTAACCACTGAGCCGAACGGCCTTAGAAACAAGTTCCCCTTCTTTCTGGAAACTTCAGAAGCACGTGGACTGATGAGTCCTGGCTGGTCCCTTCTGCAGTCCTCTGGGGAGGGGCTTAGGCTCACTCAGGGGCGACTCCCTGAGAATTGCCCTCTACATTAAAGCATTTGGCCTGGGGCCCACAGAGTGGGGGCTGGGGACTTGTGCCCAGTTCTGAGGGTCCTGACCCAGGATGGGCTGGTGCCACCTCAGGCACCTGCTCCCTGACAGAGTGGGGCTAGCGTGGGCATGGAGCCCTGGCCGAGGCCGGGGAGAGGCTCTGGGAGGCAGAAGGGCCTCCACTGAGAGCTCCCCTCATCAAGACCGAGCCCTGCATCCCAGGGTTTGTCCTCCATGGGACAAAGGCTGACAGGCCTGTGGCTCTGGGTATCCGTTTTCAGGCAGCTTCTTGGGAGGACAGAGCAGTTCTGGGAACCTCAAAATGCATCCCCTTGGGTTTGCCTGAAGTCTTCCTGTGAGAAATCAGTTAACCACCACCCCCTGGAGCTCAGCCCTCCCCAATATCCAGGCTCATCTGCCCCAGGAAGCATGTTCTGGTTGGCTTCTTGGGTACCGCCCTCGGAATGCCTCAGTCCCTGCTGGCCACACCCTCGCCCCTGGAAGGTACTCACATGTGCGTTACTGATCGCAATTCCTTCAGCAGCTGGAGCCCCAGCCCCTAACGAGGGTGACGGTTACAAGGCTTTGCGTGCCAGGGCTTTGCATGCCTTCCGACTTGCAAAGGTCTGTTGGCATGGCTGCTGCTTGAATCATTCAGGTGAGGCCTGGTCAGGGCCACAACCCAGCACCCAAAGGAAATGACCTCCACTTGGGAGAGGACACCAGGGGCCACCAAATAAACAGTAGCTCAGCTTCCTTCAACTCTGCCTGTTGATAACCAAACCCAACTTGCGCATGAGTGTGTAGCGCAGACAGGGCAGGGGACTTGGCCTTAAGGAGCGGCAGGTCATAGACGCATTTCTGACCTGGAAGAGCTCTTGGCAACCTTCTCATCAGGCAGTACTTCTGCACATGCCGCTGCTGTTGTAGGCTGGCTCTAGGCGAATGCATGGGTCCTTCAGTGCAGGGCTGGCTGGCTGACCTTCCTCCACCTGCGAGGTGCTCCTTACCTTGTTTTTGGCCCCCAAGATCATCTGGTGCAGGAGGCAAGGGAGCACATGGATGGACTCCGAATGTTGCTCTTGGCAAGGAGAGGGCCTGACCGAGTTTCTTGTTACCAAGCATTAGGGATCTCTAGTCCACGCCAGGCGGCTTGCACCAACACCTTTGCCTTGTTGGTCTGGGCGAGACTGGTATGACACCACTCGGAGCCGAGCTAGCTGCTGGGCAGGCTGCTCCCCATGGTTAGCAGGGCCCACCCAGGTGGCGGTGGCAGTGGCAGCCTGCTCAGCAGCAGTGAGCAGAGTGAGGAGGGGGCCCGGTGCGGAGTGCACTGCGTTTGATCAGGCTGTGGATACGTGCGAGAGTGCTGAGCGGGGTGGAGCGCTGGCGGCTGCAGACCCTGTGGACACTTCTGCTCTTCCCCTCTCACCCCTCCACCCTGAGCAGTGGCCTTGCAACCCAGGGCCTCTCTGAGAAGAGTACAGGCTTGGGCAGGAGCAAAGTGACAGCTATGTGCCCCCTGAGGCTTCCAAGCACTGAGGTGGTGGAGCCCATGACCTCCCGGATCAGGGTCTCTGACAGTCAGCCCTGGGCTGGGCAGCTCAGCCTCCAAGAGAATCTTTGCCCATGTGGCTGTGCTGCCAGCCCCCCGAGCTCTGGGTGCCAACCCTGCTCCCGGCCATCTCCCTGCCTTTGAGAATCCTGCTGCAGGTTTTTCTGAAATAGATTCTTGGGGCCTCATTTCCCAGCAATTAGTCAATGTGCTGTCATGCGTTTAATAAGCAGGAAAGCTGGGAGACAAAACCGTCCGCAGAGAGGGCTGGGAATCGTTTGCCAGAGTGGTGAGCTCATGTCCGACAGGCCTCAAGACTTCCCTGTCCCCCACCTGCCCCCCAAGGAGGGCTCGCGGGTGAGGGGGAAGAAGGGGACACAGAGCTTGCTCTTTTGGTGGACCCAGGATGGGAGCTTTACTATGTCACAGCTTTCTTCTCCCAGAGCTTGTACTTGGGACCTGACTCCTGAGTCTGGGGGCTTAAGGAAAGGAGGAAGGGGCCAAAGAAGCGACAAAACGTGAGTTAGGAAAGGACACTTGGAGAACTGTATTAGCAAAAATAGGACCTGGAGAGGTGCTCGACCAACCCAGTTCCATCTGGGAAGGCAGTTGGGATTTCTAACTGCAACAGTGATTGGGAGATTTCCGACATCCAGGTCATTACTTTGCTTCCAGTCCTTGCTCATCCTCAGCTGTTTGCTTCCACAGATGAAGAGGGTGTGGTTATCACCAACTTCCAGGACTAACACTTCTGTGGACCTTAATCCATTTATTAATCATTGCAACAACCTTACATAGTAGGCGCTATGATTGCGCATTCTGTAGATGAAGAAATCGAGGCACAGAAGGCTGATGGTCTGGGTCACAGAGCTCAGCCGCAGGGGTGGTGTGGTTTGAATGCAGGAACTCTGGCCCCAGGATCTGTGTGTTTAGCCATTATGCTGATGGTCTTCCAATTTTTTGAGCACATATTATGCACCACGTTCTGTGTCTGCTGTTGGGGATGCTGTTTGGTCCCGGAGATCTCCTGCAGAGGAAGCTTCGGCTCACCTTCAAGACATTTAAAGCCAGAAATGAACTTCATATAAACAAGCCCCTATCTTATGCAGCTTCTAACAAGATCGCAGACACCGACTCTGGGACAGCAGAGGAGTTGCAGCTGAGCTTCAGATGGCTTCTTGCCCTTTTCTTTTTTTTCTTTTTTAAGATTTATTTATTTATTCGAAAGTCAGAGTTACACAGAGAGAGAAGAGGCAGAGATAGATAGAGAGAGAGAGAGAGAGAGAGAGAGAGAGGTCTTTCATTCGATGGTTCACTCCCCAGATGGCCGCAACAGCCGGAGCTGCACTGATCCGAAGCCAGGAGCCAGGAGCTTCTTCTGGGTCTCCCATGCGGGTGCAGGGG